GACTCCAGACTACCAACATTTTACTCCACTAATTCATTTTCTGTCGTGGGTTATTTAATTAAAACATAGACATAGTGCTACTCAGTTTAAGTGAAGTGACGTTTACTTTAATGTAAAGAAAGTGTTTATTAATTAAAATGCACTATCAATGAAACAGCTCTGCTCACTTTCTTTTCTTTACTGGCTGGATTAACAATGAATAAAGTTACACTTTTATCTCATTTAATAGAAGTTGTGTTTATATCATACTATTGCATCTTTCGTTTTCTTGTTACATTGTTTAATGAGATAATAGTGTCAGTTGGAAGACTTTTGTTTATTACCAAACAATTTAAAACGAAAGTAATTTTGCGAAAACCTCCTTAGGACATTAAGGATTCAATCAATATCAATTTTATTTTGCTGCTTAGGTGAATGTCATTTTATAGGAAGAAAATCAATTTTTCCTCTGTCAACTTCTTTTTGTAATCAACTAATTGCGTGTGTTCGTTTAGTCTAAAGTGCATGTGTGAAAGGTCACACACATCCTGTTTGTTGATGTCCTGTGGTCTCTCAGTGTAAAGGTCAGTGGCACTGGTGTGTGTTGTAATGTTGTAATGTCATTGCAGCTGCCTCAGTGATGATATTTGCTGTTGTTTATTACCCCAGTTAATTAGTTGGGCATTTTATTTCACAATTGTTTATTGCCACTCTGATGTAAAATGATTAAATAATCATTAATTCAATTTGGTTTTGACAGCTTAGCCATGAATTAGTGAGATAATACAAAACATTAACTGAACCTCCCAGCAGTCTCCACTCATCACTGCTCTCATTTATTTGAATCGAAGAATCATATAGTGAAAATACAGTGTCTCTGGACAGCTTCTTAGTGCTTTGGTGAATGCTGTGTAACATGTACTCATTTTTGTCCTTGACTCACTTGTCGAGGCTCAAGATATAAAGAGAAACTGTAGATGAAAGGAAATGCGATGTGCAAGAACGACATCAATACAATGTTCACTATGGTATAACATCAAATAAACCAGTTCACTCAGACCTACCTTAGAGGCTGGATCAAGCAGAGCAGAAGAGCCAGAGTGAACGAGGACTAGACCTTAAGAAAATGGATGGGAAAGGCCAGTGATCTGGTTCAGGTCTGGGCTGAGCTGTCTCAGACAGAGTCTTCTGCAGGACTGAACACAGGATTTATCAATAGGTTAATGAGAGAGAGAGGTTTTGATCCATGAAGCAGAAGACAGATCGCCCAATCACAGACACTAGTTAGAGACCTGTGATTTTGTCGACATGACAATATCATAACACGTCGTAAAATTAATGTCAACAGGATCAATTTTAAAACTGAAAAGGGATTAAATATATGTTTTCACAGAAAGAGAGTATAGAGTGTATCCTTCTGGGAAACTTAAATTTAAATTAATTTGTCTCAATCACTTTTCAGAATTGTATTTTTATTTATTTATTATTACAATCAGATCCAGCAGAGGGTGCTTCAATTGCAGTGTTGTTTTAGCATCACTCTTGACCAGAATCAGTTTGATGCACTTTATCTTAACCTATGTGCATCACTTAAATTGCTGTAAAAGAGTCCTTTCACGTTTGCTGGGTTTCATGTTGTGTTCATTGTGTTCATTAGCCTATGAGTAATTTGGGATCATTTAAATGTCAGTGGATGTTCACAATTCTTTATTAGCCACATTGTTCAGATTTTAAAACTGTTGATTTTTCCCCCCTAAGTGCTAGGCTCATAAAATGACCAAACCTAGGCTGCTAACTGAGTTAGCAACAGGGGTGTGCTAGCGTTCGTCTCACTGTCACTGCAGACAAATTCACTGCTGCGTTAATTGTTGCAGGAAGATGTGGAGGATAAAATCAGCGGGTTACAGACCTTCTCTCTCACTCTGTGTTGTTTGTGCAAGCTAGTGTGTGTGCGAGAGTGTACTTGTGTGTGTGTTGTCCTCCATCTGTTCCAGTAAGCCCTTCCTGAACCTGCTGAGATCCCCAGACCTTTCACACTGACACAACGGGGAAAACAGATTTTAGTCACTTAACAAAACAGTCACTAAAACAGTTTTACCTTAGCTTAGGGCTACAATATTTTAGGAATATTTCAAAAACCGCTTACTCTTTCTTCATATGTGTCAATGAAACGTGTGGGGTTTTTGTGTGTTCAATGTTAAATTTGACCACACCAGACATCAGCTAAAAAGCAACCTAAAAAGGCAGATTTTACAGGAAGTTTTTTTTCTGAGGGTTAGAAATATAAAGCTCTGGTTTTCTTTTTATTTAGCTGGCAGCAAATTACAGCAATAAATCATAATTGAAAAGAGGCCAAATCAAAGAGCGGTGAGAAAAATCAGTGTGTCAACTGTTCTTTTTTTCTCTGCTTTAACTCAAACCATCCTGTAACTCCGGCTCGTCTCCTGAGCCTTCTGTCAGTCTTGCTAACAGCTTTCAGGACATGGAGCAGCAACGGAGCAGATTTTTTTAATCATTAACTGTCTGAATAGGGATTTTTTTTTTTCGTCCCGACATTGTCTCTTTACTCTCATCTAAATCCATCTTTTATGACCTGCGAGGCCTGTCAGTGCTTCACAAAAGGTCAAAACTTCAAATCCAGTTCTGGTCCTACTGTGAGGAGAGAAGCAGCTGCTAAAAAATGTTCATCCACTAATGATTAGGCAGCTTTGGTCTGATCTCACTCTGATCCAGAGAACTTTTTTATCATTCTTCAGTAATCTCTGATTCTCCTGTTTAATGACCAACGTGGCCATTTTTTTGTTGCTGATTTGTGAAGATAGGGTCAGGACAGATCAGCCATCGCTAGTTGGAACTTCTGGTCAGCTGCTGGATATGTAAACGCTTTATCGACCAAACATTTAAATCAAAGAGTGTAAAGACTTGGCTCTAAGACACTTTTACTAGACCTAATAACAAATGTTTTGCTTTGATGAAGTTATTGAGTGAAATGTGTGTAAAATCAACATAAACATCTAAAACGTCTCACCTTCTTTTGGTTCTAGACAAAGACAATTTTACATTTCTGTCTGCTAGATACCAGTGTCCACCAAAAGTGGCGCACCAGGATCAAATTGTTGAGGTTTGCGACTGGCACTATGCAGAAGACAAACACTTTATGGTTTCTAGATTTCAGGAATATTCCAGCTCCAGTGATTCATCCATTTTGGAAAGAGAAGAAAAATAATATTAGAAATAAAGAGGTAACAACCGGGGCCTGGTAGTGGTGCATTCAATGTCTTTGTTATTGTCATTGTCAGTGAGTGCTTGGAGCAAAATGATGATGAAGTTCAAGCAGAAGATTCATTCACCTTCTTTTTATGAAACTGACATTGAGCTTAAATTGATGGTCGGAGCTTTTACCACAGACACCGTGTAAATCCACGTATCGATGGATGTCATGTCCGGAAAAGGATTTTAAGAAAGAGTTAAAAATGTTTCACAAACCAATAACCTAGACGTGCTTTAATGTCGTACGAGACAGAAAATGCTGCAGTCCAGGTTTTACAAGTTCCATGATGGAAAGTAAAACTTCCCGTTTCTGCAGAGTCTACGCTGCAGATTTTTCCCTGCTCTCTGCTGAATGTGACAGTTCGTTGGAGAAAAACAGAGCTGTGAGATGATGCTGTTCGCTCGCTGCAGAGGGATGATTGATTCAGGTCGGCCCTCGCCGTCGCCCCCGGGGGACGATGTCTGAATCCGATCAATGCAGTGTTCAGCCTCCATGTATTCATAAAGCGGCTCTCTGTGCTCGTGCTGCCGCTGCCTGACAGAGTTTCACTTTAGGCCAGGCTGCGACTATCTGTAAAAACGAAGTGATAGTACAGGAGGGGAAGGCGAAGGAGGTCAGTAAAAATGTTGCTGCGTTCAGGGAGAACAGAGACACTGAACTAAAGGCATAGAGAGTGTCATCCAAAATCAGTTTTAAAAATATATCCCCTCCTTTGTATGGACACCAGGCACTATTTACCAACAGGAAACTCAAGTTTGTAAAAACCACTTCCCCACCAACTGTCCACAGCTGTCGGTTCAAAACAGGCTTTCTAAAATATTTTTATTGTCTTTTTATCTTTGTATTTTATACAATTCACTCCAGTGACACAAACTGACCACAAGAGGCAGCGATAGACCAACCAAAAAAAAAGCTAAAATCTGTGATTTTCTCCGTGAAGTTTGTTGCGGAGGATCCACATTTATCATGATTTTCTACACATGTTTCTTTCATACATTTAAATTGCGTCTGTTGACATATAAATCAGCCATTGATGTGTGTAAATTCACCTTCATTTATCATTTTAAAAACCTGTGACAGAGTTTAAAAATAGTAATTAATAGATTTTTTGTCACTTCACTTGTCAATGTATTGAGTGATGGTTTAATGCCCTTGTGTTTGTGTGTGTGTGCTCGTGTGTACACATGACACATGGAGGAGAAAACAAATTGGTGGATGTGTTTGTGAATCTGCTGGGTGTCGGGAAGCTGCAGCCTCAGCATTTTTTTTCTCTCCTCCGACCATTAAATCTCTCTAATAATATCAGACACTCCTCCTCCTGCTCCTTCTCTTCCCTTTTTCAGTCTTCCTTCTCTCTATTCTCCCTCTCTTTTCTACCTTGTTTTCTCTTCTCTCAGATCCTTCTTCCTTTTTTTTCTCATTTTCCTCTGTTTTAATTGTCATCGATTCCTCTTGATTGCTCTTGTCCACTCTAAGTTTTAGTCGTTTCCTCATCTTCTATCCTTATTCTCCTTTCCTCGCCTATTGTCCTATTCTTTACCTATTTTGCCTCCTTTTATTTTATTTTGTTTCCTCCTTTCCTGACTTCCAGTCATCTTCCATGTCTCCTTGGATTGTCTCTCTGTCTGTCTCTCTTCTCTTGTCCTTCCTCCTTACATCCTCTCCTTTTTTCCTTTTTTTATTTCTTTGATTTCTTCTCTTGTCCTTCCTCCTTACATCCTATCCTTTTTTCTTTTTTTTATTTCTTTGATTTTTTTAACATCCTCTCCATGTTTCCTTTTCTCTCCTCCATCTGTTTTATCTGCTTCTTTTAAAGCCGCCTGTTCAGACTTGATATAACGCTGTTTGTTGTCGTTAAAGCTGAAACTGCCAGTGTTACATCCAGGGCAGTGACTTTATCAAAAGGCGGAAGTGAAGGGGAAAAGAGGACAATGGGAGGAAAGGTTTTCAATTTAGATTTTCTTTTTTTGTGTTAAGCAAAATGTTTGTATATCAAAAAATATTTATTAGTGGTTTGATGGTATCAGCTGACAATTTCCTTTGTTTTGTTTTGTTTTTTTCAATGAAAAAGGAGTTGTAACTAGGATTTCTAGTAAATGATGTAAAAGGAGACGTCATGACAAATTTGGAGGTGCAGCGAGAGTAAGGATGTGATGGAGAAGGAGTAAGAAGGAGGGTCACAGAAGCGGGGAGGAGAAGCCGAGGGGGAGACTGAAGATAAATGTGAGCTCCTTTCAGGATGTGCTGTTTTACATAAACTCCATGTTGTCAGACAGTTTGACTACAGCCACTGTAAATCCACAAACAGCTCCGTGGTGCTGAGAGCTAACTTATCATGTCACACACACACACACACACACTATACCCCATGGAGAAAATATGTGGTTTTAGTCCGCTGTAATACTGTAAGAGTTTCTGGTCAACTGTTGCCTCGTGTGGACACTTTGTGTCACTGCTGTCGGCTTGATTGACCTCAAACACTTTAATCGTCTAGTTTAATTTCTGCACCTGCTGATGAAGGAGGCTGGACATCCACCAGTCCTTCACGGTGTCATTAATATTGGTTGGTTTTCTCTTCGGGCCTTTGTGTTTATAGTGATTACTTCACTGAAACCAATTTCCTGGAGGAAAGGACAATCCAACCAAAACATAATCGGTTAACACATTAAGAAGACAGAGACTCAAACTGAGGTAGAGGTAGTTTTATTTTTTTTGTTTGTTAAGTGGCTAAAATCCCCGCTGGCTGCCATGTTTTCAGTGAGCGGCTGACCTCGGCTGTTTAGTCAGAGCGAGCTGTTGGCAGTGAGAGCGATGAATTTCACGCAGCGTGAATCATGTTTGGCTCACGTCGACTGTCATATTTCTCACAGCTGACGCTGCATCAGCCCAGATTTATTCTCAGAGAAAATTAAAATGAACCCGGAGCCGTTCAGATTTTCATGTCCTATCATGTCATGTCTGTGTGTGTGTTTATTTCCTTCCATCTTATCACATATGCTGTGAATTTAGAACACTCAACCCCAACAGGGATTCCCATAGATCAGTTGTTGCTCTTGTTTAAGTGTTTCATTTTCATTTTATGTTTGAAATATAATCAGATTTTTATTCTCGGTTTATATAAGTGCTTAAAAACCTAGCAGTGCTTGGAAATATATTTTTTAATTGCAGGTTGTGTCCAGGAGACCAAAAATCATCAAAAAGGTTTAAGAGAGCTAAAATAAAATAAGTGATTTTTTTTTAGCACTTTTCAAAATAAATAATAATTCTTATCTTCCACCGGAACAAATATTTGTCCTTCTGTCGTCATCATTTAAAGAAAGAAACACCTCGTGGGTTTTTTTTTTTGGCCCAGCTTCATCTCTACAGTTTTGTGACATGTGTGTTTGTGTGCGGAGGCGTCCACAAGTGTGTGTGTGTGTGTGTGTGCTGTGGTAGCGTTTGGTGTCGTGGGAACAAACATATGGTGACGATCACGAGTCAGTGAGGTCAGTCCGACAGAAACACAGGAAACAAGCAACAAGGGAACCCTGTTTTTTTGTAACTTTATTTTTTCATATAATTCATCAAGTTTAGTGATGAACAAATGTAAATCACTGAAGGAAGGAAATGGTAAATGTTTTACAGACATGTTAACATAGCAGTTTGGTAGGTGACAATTCAGTTCCGTCATGATGACTCATCGACATGGAGTTCTGCTCCTTACAGAACCTCATCCAGCTCCCTCAGTTTTTTTTTCTTTACAAACCAAAAGAACATTTCAAAGGAACAGGAACTCTGTGATCTACCAGAACTCCCATTGAGATCTACTGGTAGATCCAGGTCTTACTTATTGGTACAGTCTCTGGTCGTGCAGCCTCGTAATTCATGAACGGGACAGATCACAGAACAAGATTTCAATTTTGACTTGTTGCGTTTGGACTTTTCTGTGTGACCTTTTCCTGTGGTGGAAAAGGTTGAGCTCTTTGCACAGAAGATGAATTCATTCAGTGAAGTCGCAGTCACCGTTGTCAACCAATTTAAGGTCTCGTTGGTTAATACTGTTGTTTGATGTTACGCCTTTCTTTATTTTGTCAAAACTGCATCTTCCTGTGAACGACTTGTGCCCTTGAGATTTGCTGTTACACACTCTTGTGTGTGTGTGTGTGTAACGTGACACCAGCAGCGCAGCAGAGGTAAAGGCTTCGTAGTTTTAGGAACAATAATTTGTTTTGCTGCAATGCCACTGCAATGCAACACCTATTGTCTCGTTTTCTGTGTGTGTTTGTGTATTTGATGAATGGACAATAAAATTAGAGACAGATCACAGCTGATCACATGATGGAATACCAGGATGAAAAGCCCTTTTTTTTCAGTGTAATATTATTGGGGAAATTAGTGTCCAATTATAGAAGGAGCGTGTGGGTGTGTGCACGTGCACGTGAGTGCGCTCTTACCTAATTTGACCTCTGCTAAGAAGACACTCCTCCGCCTCCTCCTTCGCTGCGTTTATGACCGCCACCTTCTCCTGATTCATGGCCTGCTCGTTTTTCTCGCTGCTGTTGGGTGAAATAATAAATTTGACGACTGAGCATCTGCGGCGAATTCTGTCTGAGTCAGAACCGAACCCAGAACCGCACAGACAATAGTTTTTACGGTGTAGACGACTGGAAGGATGCCATCTGTTGTCGTAACATAAAGACATTAGTTTCACAATCAAAAGTTTGACCGAGAGACAACTGTTAAGATTAGTGGAACACACTTCTGTTTTAACTAGCGGGCTAGTATCTTTAACTGCTATCCAGTTCCTGAAGCTATCTAGTTAGCATCACAATTTCCATTTGTTTGGTTAGTTAGTAAAACATCGTCAAAGTTTGCTTTTTCAATTCTTACCAACCAGTTAAATAAGCCGATCAGGAAATCAGAAAAGATTGTGCTGGGCTAGCATTTTCTTTTTGTTATCATGACCAAAAAATCTGGCAGCATATTTTAACAACTTTAACTTTATTAAGATAACAGTATTTTCTTATCTCTCCTCAGGTCCATGGACCAATCATCATGAGACTTTGTTTGTTCCTACCTTTTCTTCGGCACCCTCCCCTCCCCCGCTGCTGTCTGTCGACACTCTCGGCCAATCGCGGCGCTGCGGTCTTATCCCAGAGATGCTTCAGCGTACATCCAAGCCTCGTCCCTCAGGCTGGGCTTGGCCGGGACTCTGTGGAGGTGTTAGGTCAGTCCTATCCACGTGATGACTTCACCAATGTCACTCCAAAGATCTTAGCCAAAGTTGGCTGCAACCTCCACAACCAACAGCACCACCCACTGTGGCTCATCAAAGAGCGAATCAAAGCACACTTTTATAGGTGGGTGGAGCCCAAACAGACAATTAGTGTCTTGGTTTTGGCCAATGACGACTGATGGCTTTTACTTTGATTTTTTGTTTGATGTTTTGGTAATAAAGATGTTACGCTTTAAATATGATATTGCAGTTCCTTCACTAGCCGCTGGGGGAACCCTATTTTCTCCGTCCATGACAACCTGAGCCCAGTGGTTACAGTGGAGCAGAACTTTGACAGGTGAGCAGTGGAAGTGCTGCTTGGATTCAGTTTTTTTTTTTCAGTAATTAAAGAGTTTTGTTTGTGTTAACGCAACGTTTAAAACAATCCACCCTGATTGGATGATCTGCTTTGACTGACAGCTTGTTGATCCCGCCCGACCACCCCAGCAGGAAACGAGGTGATAACTACTACCTGAACAGGTGGGCAAAGAAAAAAAAATCACACCATGTATTCATGTCGGTCCAGTAAGGTGAACACAAATGTATGTATTTTTTTGGGGGTTTACACAGGACAACAATGCTACGCGCTCACACCTCTGCCCACCAGAGGGAGCTAGTAAAGTCTGGTCTGGATGCGTTTCTGTTGGCTGGAGACGTGTACAGACGAGACGAGATCGACTCCAGTCATTACCCAGTGTTCCACCAGATGGAGGGAGTCCGACTTTTCTCCAACCACGAGGTTGGCGTGTTTCACTTTCAATCATTTATATGAACCCAGATCAGCCTCATATCATTGGCATACTGAAGACGTTTCATCAATGTTTAATGGGTGTCTTCTGTATCTCTAGCTGTTTTCACAGGTGAAGGGCGGACAGAACCTCTCTCTGTTAGAACGTGGCGGCAAGAGGACGCCACAGAAGCAGGAGACACACACACTGGAGGCTGTGAAGCTGGTGGAGTTTGACCTGAAACAGACTTTGACCCGACTCGTCACCCACCTGTTTGGACAGGGTGACTCTCCTCCGTTTCTTCCTCTGTTGCTGTTTTACTTTCTTCTTCTTCTTCTCTTTCTGTTTCCCTCCACTCCTCTGTTTTTCATTTTGTCCCGTTTGATCTCCTCAGATGTGGAGGTGCGGTGGGTGGACTGTTACTTCCCCTTCACTCATCCCTCGTTTGAGATGGAGGTGCGTTTCCAGGGCGACTGGTTGGAGGTGCTGGGCTGTGGAGTGATGGAACAGGAACTCCTGAACTCTGGTCAGAACACACACACACACACACACACACACTCACACACTCTAAAACTAAACCTTTTAAGACTTTCCTGACTTTCACCTGACATTTAATGACATTAGAGCATCACTTTTACCTTTTACGACACCACAAACCTGTCAAATTAGGACCAAACTTTTAGGTCCCGCCCACACACTAATGTAACCATCAGGAGGCCGTCCAAGCTGTGAGTTTGTTTATCTCTTCTTTTTTTAAATGTCAGTAATGCCTAAAAACCAGATCATTAAGAAAAAGTGACACTGAGAAGATTTCTGCTTAGATAAACCACAGAGATCGTGGTTTATTCTCCCCACAGTGTCGCTCTGCAGACTTGTACTGCTGATGTTGGTTTGTTTTTATTTTTAGATTCAACCTAAAAGTACTTTTGTTTTTGTCTATATATCAGTATGTCTTAAAAAAATCATGAAAGGGAAGCGTTTGAATAGTATTAGCGTAGGCTTTGGTTGATGTTACCCTCTGCTGGTTGTGTTCACAACAAACAACATTTACAAAGTCCAGAGAAATTACTATGGTTTAAATGAAGGAAAGGAACTCTGCTGATTCACTAATAATTGAAATTTGTTAAAAACAATTAGCCAATCAGCTGTTTATTATTATTACACACCTTTCTACCTTTCTGAAACAGAAAAAATTAAGAAGTTGTTAGAAGTAACTATTAACTAGTGAGAAACTTCAGTGTTGTTGATCTTGAAGCTGCTGCTTCTATAAGCACTATTTCTATTCCCCACAGTAATGGGTTGCCCACACATTACATCAGTGATAGGTCTCACCTCTGTCCCGGCAGGTCAACAGCCCTGTTTACACAGAGGTGACTGTCACGACGTGCTGCTCTTCTGCCACCTCTAAACCTGGCAGAGGGGCAAAAAAGTCGCTCTCACCATTCACTGATAGGACTGTTTACACGGAACAATGAGGCCTTAGGAAGGAAGGGGATACATTTCTGCTCTCTCTCTCTCTCGCTCTCTCTTCCTCTCTCTCTCTTTCTCTCCCCCCGTCAGTCAAAGTTGCCCCGCTCACCTTCATGCCCTTGAACAAAGCTGTAATACCGCACTCCACTTCACTGCTGCTTGTTTCAATCAATAATACATGTTTAAAAAGTGGTGTGTGTGTGTGATTGCGTATGCGTGTGTGTGGTGGTTTAGAGAACGTCTGCTGCTGTTGTCAGTTGCTCAGACGTGCTGTATCTTTAGTTTCCAGTAAAGTCACTTTGGCTACTGTCGTGTCCCTGTTGAGAGGCTCCGTTGACAGGTTGTTTTTTTTTTTTCACACGTCGTCTGCTCAGAAACCAGAGCAGAGAATCCACAACATGTTCACAACTGGATCTTCATTCGTCCAAAACTTTTCAAAACCTCAGACTATGTTAAATAGTTGACAGATTTGATAATCTGATGGGATTTATTGACTACTGACGTCTAACTTTGTTATATAAAAGCAGTGTGTGGGAATTTCTTTTTTTCAGATACTATTGTAGGAAGAAGTTTAACTTCTCTCTCATTAGAAGCGAGCGCAAATCTGAATAGAATATCAAGCAGTTTAGATAAGTTTTCTTTCTTTCTTACAGTTCTGACACCTGCTGACCACAGGGACCAGCAGCTCCTGTGTCCTCGTCAGCTGAAATCAGTGGTTTTTATCTCTGTACTTGGGGCAATGCGTGGTTTACAAACCTCGGTTTTCTGTTGAAAATGTCCAGTCCAGCAGTGAAACAAAGCACTAACGACCATCTTTGGAAGACTTGAATCCTATTGGCTGAGCCTATTGTTATGCTGCGGGGCTCCTCCATACCTGGTCCCCTGTTTGTTACAGCCATGTTTTCTTTGAAAGACTCTCAGTGGTTTGAATTTGATCGTTTTCAGCTACACTTCAAAAAAAAAAACCCTGTAAAATCAACGTGAGTAAAATCAGTGTCAGTGATCACAGTCAGACGATCACTGCTTTGATCAGCCCTCTGCTGGTGTGTGTTCATGTGTGTGTGTGTGTGTGTGTGTGTGTGTGTGTGGTCTTGATTCGACCTCTAACAGCAGCCGACTGTATTGACAGTCTGTCTTCCTGCCTGTGCAGTTTCCAGCCCTTGCCAGAGGGAGGTGCTGCAGATCAGGTCAGATTGAAGGATGTCAGTCTCTCTCTGTGTGTGTGTGTGTGTGTGTGTCTTCAAGTCATTTAAGAGCTGTACAGACGAATCAGTCACTTGCGGTTTGTAGAACTCTCTTTTTATTGGTGAGTCCTCACAGGTCTAGAAAGACCTGTTTCCCCCGTCTGTGTGTGTGTGTGTTTGTGTGGCCGTTTGTGTGTGTGTGTGTGTTTTTGCAGAGAGTCTACATCTATTTCCTACGGTGCACCGAGATTGTAATAGACTGTTTTAGGACACACACAGTGAGATGGAGGCGCATGTGGCCATTTTACACTCTGGCTATTATTCAGAGATTGTGTGATGTGTGTGTGTGTGTGTGTGTGTGTGTGTGTGTATATGGGAGAGAGGAAGGCGCTGTATTTGGTCCTGACAGTAGGAACAGCAGGTGGCTAAATTGATGCTGAGGTCCACATGGAATCAGAGGAAATACAAACTCCATCAAAGTGACACACAAATACAAACACAGGATTCAACATCTTCATCACGAGGACTTCTATTTTCCAAATGGAAATGTTGTCATTATCGTTGCAGTCATTCAGGCCTTTTTTCCTGCCGTGATGGAACCACCTGCCCTGCTGCAGAAATCCAGTATCAGCACAATTATCTCAGAAGTCCGGACGCATCAGAAGTAGTGATAAATGTTCCTGGCAGAAAACCTAATTATAGTGTTTACTATTCATTATCCATTCATTTTTTATTGTCATTTAAATGTTAACTTTTCACCCAGTTTTGCAGCAGAGTGAGGCCAGAACACCACAGTCCTTCGTGACTCATTTCCTGGCAGTTCAATCGAATTATTTTCTTGCTTCTTGGTCTGGTGCTAAAACAAGAGAGAAGTGATTTCTCTTGCACCGACGTATTTATCGTTGTCGTCAAAATCCACCTTCTAAGACTACATGTTGTCAGAAAAGCTGCACAAAAAAGCGCAGAAATATATTGGAGAGGCGGACGTTGCGGTTGAAGACAGTTATCAAACGATCACGACCAAATAATAACACTGAAGTAAGAGGAATCCATGTAGGAATCAGAATCAAAATTCTAATTTGAGATATGAAGCTCTTTTTAAACAAAGCTCCCCCTAGTGGTCAATTGGACTATTGAGGAACACCATTGGAAAAAAAAAAACAAAACCTGGAGGGCAAATGTACTTGTTCCACAACGATGTACATCAACGTTGAACTCCTCTGTCATTGTGACACCAATGTTAATAGCGGGGACTTTTTCCTGGAACTGTTTTAGTTCTGGTTCCGCTCGTGTCACCTCAACTTTACTCTGGGTAAAAGCTGAGGTTCAGCATCAGCAAGAGCTGACCTCGTTTTTTTTTTTAGTGTGTCCAAAAAGAGAGAGTGTGTGTGAGAGAGGGTATTTGCTGTGTCTCTCTGCCCTTGGTGATGCTGCAGTGCACTTGACATCCACACTGTGGACACACACACACACTTACACATTCACACACACACACACACACCACGTGCAGACGCCTCTCTCTCGCTCTCATTCTCACTCCCTCTCAACTCCCCCACCTCCCGCTATATTCACTGCGGCACTGTGAGTCCGTTGCCTTGGAACTTACACATTCACACACACACACACACACACTCTCTCTCTCTCTCTCTCACATACACACACTTTTCTGGAGTACACAGAGTGAGAGACTGTGAGGAAGAGGAGGTGAAGGAGAGACCTGGGAGAGGAGGAAGATAGAGGGGAGATTTAACCAGTGGTCGCCCCCCCCCACCTCATGCCCTCGTCTCCCCCATTTCCCCCCCCTGCTGGCGCCTGGAGAAAGTGGGGTCGTCACTGTGTGCGCACACGCACGTGTGTGTGTGTGTGTGTTATTTACCGGTGTGGAAGCGTGACGACCATATGTGCAGCCGCAGGCTGAGTGTGTGACAAGAGCGAGAGAGTTAATGAGAGATTGAAGAGGAGGAGGAGAAGAAGGAAGGAGCGAGGGAGCAAGGAAACAAGGGGGCAAGGATGAGGGGAAGAGGGGAACCTGCTGTGGGGGAGGGAGGACGGAAGGTGTGACTGTAGAGTTGAGGAGGGGGAGAAAAAGGAACGGATGAGGGGAAGTTGAAAAAGGATTTGAGTAGAAATAGGGAGGATGGTTCTGGAGAAGGAAAGGAGAGAGGAAGGAGAGAGGAAGGAGAGAGGAAGGAGAGAGGACCAACAGTTGAGGGTTTGGTTTGAAACGGAGATGTTGACGGTGATGTTGGTGAACATTTGGTACAAAGGAGACAAGTGACTCCAGTGGAGAGAGCAGACAGATCTGAGGGACAGAATGGAACAAGGAGTCTGGAGGAAAAATAAAATAAATGTGACAAAAAGATGAAAATGTTACAGACATATATAAAAACCTACTTAGACACGTGTGTATTTGACCTGCATAAATTATGGTTTTGGAGGAGGTGTGGTCATTAGCGCCAGGTCCCATATGCTGCTGCTGCCGCCACTGACATCAGAGGGAAAACCCATGGGACACACAGACACACACACACACACAGACACAAACTAAAATCTGATTAAAGTCATGTTGGCCACAATTAACAGCCGTACAAGCACGGGGCCTCCAGTCCTGTGGGACTCACTCTGTCTCTGTGTGTGTGTGTGTGTGTGTGTGTGTTCAGGTGGCAGCTCTCAGTCTTAATCCTCTCCTCCCTCCCTCCCTCCTTTCCCTTCCTCCCCCTCCTCCCTCTGAATAAATCATGTGACCTTATCCCCTCACAGTCTTTCCTTCTTTTCCCTCAATTTTTCTGTCTCTGTTTTTTTACTGATGAGTTGGCA